CGCGCCCCGCCGCCACCGGCTGCTGCTGCTGTTGAGATTGGTGACGCCCGATTTGTTTTTCTCCGCCCTCCGCGCTATGCTTCAAAAGAGAGCCAAGAAAATCCATGGCCAAACAGTGTGTGTGCCGGTGTGGTGTGTGTGGCTGTGTATGTGTGTGTGTGTGCGCGCGCACGCTTGTGGCGTGTAGGGGGGGGGGGGGTACCTACTTGCCCTTTGTTTGTTTTCACACGACTTGTCTGCGCGAGTACGCGCGCGCGAGAGTTAGCTTTTAGAGAAAAAACAGTCTCCTTTTTTTCTCCCGCCCTAAGGCGGAGGCAAGCAGATGATAGGTCCCTGCTCCCGGGCCAGGTCAGGCTGGGCCGGTCCTGGCCCGGTTTACACGTCCAAAATAATAATAATCTGCTCCCGTTTCTCGCATCCTGCCTCTCGCGTAGGCCCCGCCCGACCCGCCCCGTGCCTGTCGCGTACAGTGCTCACCTCACCCGCCCACAGGAGGATAGTTTCGTTGCAGCGTCCCGCGCCCCAGCTGGGCTGCAAATGGACTTTAGGACTTTAGGCAGACTTTTCGAACGGTAATAGTGCCCTGCCAGTGCTGGTACCAGTGTCAGTACCGATGCACCCAGCAGAGAGGTCCGTTTTTGGATCAAGCAAAATGTTCTTGACGAACCATTGTACTTCCTCCCATACTACTTATTGATTGAAATCTACATTGGCAATAATGCAATGAAAATTACCTTGACCATATTTTCAAGATATGTTCAACATATGTTAAACATTTAAGTACAGGTGCAGGTCGAGAACATTTTGATTGGTCCAAAAACGGACTTTTTCTGGGTGTGCTGGTAGTACCGGTGCCGGTACCAGTGCCGGTGCTAGTGTCAGTGCTGGGTACCAGTGCCGGTACCAGTGCCAGTGCCTGAGCCGTGGAATGCTATCCAGGTCCGGCCAGCCCCTCGGCCCGCCGCGCAGCAGCCCAGGGCAGCACGCCTCCAAACTGGTTTTGCACAATGCGGATTGGGGGGAGGGGCGTGTGGGGCGGGGCGGCAAGCAGGACACTGCCGCTTTGTAGGAAGGAAGCGTAGGAAGGAAACAATATTTTGTTCTGGGCGAGCGGCCCCGGCTGGGCTGGCAGGCCTGTCGGTGAGCGGATTGATTTGTGAAGACGTTATCCACCCGTCCCTCATAGGGATGGATAAACAACCAATACAAACGGCCGCGAGCACAGGCGCCCCGTCCCGACCTACGCCAGCGAGCTCCGTCCGTTCCGTGCCTCCCCCGCGGCGGCGTGCCACTGCACAGAGCGCTGTGCTCCATATTTCTCGGCCGAAGGTCCTCGGGTCCACGGCGCGGGTCGGACTGGGTCGGGTCGGGTCCGGAGCGGACCTCGCGACTCTTAGCATGCAGCCCTGCGCCCACGGCCGGAGTCCGGGTCGGCGAAAAGGTCAGGTCCACCCTGCGCCTCCCCCTCCGCCCCCGCCGCCACGCCCTTGTTATTCCCTTGCACTGGTGCTGCACTGCATTCGGGTCACGCTGCTGCGCTCAGGCCAGGCCGCCCCGGTGTACCGGTCACGGCGTGTCTGTCTCCAGGTCAGAGACTGGGGCTGGACACGAGCAGGCTGGACAGTGCAGGCCGGCCGTCAGTCTTGTTGCGTGGGGCGGGCCGGAGCGGAGCGGGCCGGACTTACACTGGTGCAGACCGTTTCAAAGTTTACTCAGTCTCGGGGGCATTTGTGTGGAAAGTTCGCGAGACGAGACAGGCAGGAAAGGACTCTTTTGGACTGTATGAATGGCACCCGAGTGTTCACGTGGAGGCGTCAGATCCATGGCCTGCTCTTTCCAACAGTCTTGTAGTCTTCCCTCGCTGTCCCTCGCGGCCTGCCGTGCCCAGGCTGGACAGACCATGGGTGTGCTGTTATTTTCTATCAGCGTTCGGGCACGTTTTCGCGAGAACAAGAGAACGCCCTGTGCACGCCTCTCGGCTGTGGGAGGAGAGAGAGGGAGGGGGGGGGGAGAAAGTGACCTGGCCTATGCACGCCCCTGGCGCGGCGGCGGCGGGTCTTGGCGCTGCGCGGCGCTCTCGGCGCCCTCCCACGCCGGACTAGGCGGGGCGGGACCCTAGAGCGCGCGTGTGTGAGAGATGAAATGCCCCGTGTCGCGGTTAATTGAGTGCCCCACCCCACCTCTTTCCGCCACACCCCGCCCCACCCCGCCACACCTGGCCACGCCCGCGAGACCCTTCCTCGCGATTCCCCTTCTTGAGAAGACCCCAAGCAGCATCGCAAAAGAGCTCCCCTATATCCCGTGGCGCGCAAGCATCCGTCGTCATCGGAAAAGTACGAGTGAGAAAGTTGTAGTCTTTCTGGAGTGCAAGAGAGACGGCAGTGCCGGTGCCGGTGGTTGGAAAGGAGAGGGGGTGGTGGAGCGTGATTGGAAAAGCAAGTCGTGTGACCGCGACCCTCACCGCGAGTCTCCGTGTGACGTGAAGGGTGGGGAGGGGGGTTAGAGGGGGGGGGGAAGGGGTGATAGGCAGAAGGCATGCACCCCCAGAAACACAAACACACTTCTCAAGCGCCGGCGTGCTTGTAGCCTGTGGTCGCGCACCGCCGCAAGACTCCCGGCGCACCCGTCACCTCGTGCCGTCACGCCGCCGCGGCGCTCAACATCAGCTGCAGCAGCAGTAGCAGCAGCAGCAGCAGCAGCATCGACAGAACCAGCAGCTTGAGCTGCTGCAGGAGCGCGTGCCGGATGCGCTGAGCAGCGTCCGCTCCGCGTCGTCGTCGCCGGCACCGCCATGGTGGCCGCCGGGTCCGCCGAGGAGGAGGCGGCGGCGGGCGACGACCGGGACCGCGCCAGGTCCCCCTACGGCGCGCTCTTCGTCTACGGCGGCGCGGCCTTCGGCGCGGCCTTCCTGCACCACCCGCTGGGAGCCTCGCCCCCCACCAAGGACCCAGTCGCAGCGAGAGAAGTATGGGCGCCCACCTGTGGGTCTTGTTGTGCCTTGATCATCAGTGTACGTACAGGGCGATTCAGTGAAGACGGAGGTGCGGCGGGCAGATTTGCCTACCTAAAGGACAATGGCGCCTTACGTGCAGAGCGAGCAGGCAAACCCGCCCAACCCTGCGACTTCTCTGAATCACCCGGTACGCGTTGGAGATTTGTGGGCTTGCCTACTCCTCCCGCTCGTAAGCCGGCATGGCGCCTGCGGCCCGTGCGAGTAGGCAACCCAGCGGCACTGCACGCACAGGAGGGTTGCGGGTTTGCCTACGCGCCCGAGCCGCAGGCGCCATGGCGCTGTGAGCAGGCAAGCCCGCCACTCTGGCGCGTGGACATGTTCTGGTAACGCGTCGACTCGTCTTCTCCTGCCGTAGCAGGTGTGTTCCGCGGGTTCCGGTGGGTGGAGTGGATGTGGACCAACGTGGACACGCACACGATGGCGCGCGCTGGCGCCTCTCGGGCCCCGGGATAGCAGTGGCATCACTCTCTGTGGGTTTTGCATCTGCGCCCCGCCCCGCCCCGCCTCGCGCACCGCGACACGCTCGAGGTGGCAGATTACATTAAGAGGATCCCCCGCCCGCTTTGCGTCACCCTCCCGCCACCCCG